GTACCCGGAATCAAAGTTTAACACTCATGACCTATGACTCATGACCCCAGCCGAGTACCTGGATGAAGATCGACTTGAACACAGAAAACTTAGACTTCAGACTTCTCTCTGTTTCAACTACAATACTTCTAAATTTACGCAGAACGCCGCTCGCCGTCCCATCCTGCTCGATTCCTCTCCCTCCCCCCCCGCCCCCACATTTTTCTTCATCAGTAAACGCGATTCCGAAGCGTATTGAACTTCTATGCATACACCTACACCACCGCTTCTCTGTTTATCTGAAAACAGCAACGGCCAATAAAACGAGAAAGCACTAGGCTTTTCGTTGTAGATACGCTCACATGCATTACGGTCACGTTGCACTCAGCTAAGAACCACTCGAGACTCAGCCGAAGATCAGTTCCGGAAGATGCGAAAAATTGGGTTGTCTGCAAGAAGAAAATTTCTTGTCTCTCTGTCTATTATGCTGATGCACTCATCCAGTTGAATTGAATACTGTTCTACCTATGTATAGCACAAAGGAGAGCGGGGGGGTTGGGCAGCAGAATACAGTCTGGGTGGAGACCAGTGCCAACATTGAAAGTCCTCGACTTAATGCCATTTTTTCTGACGCTGCACAAGCAATATGTAGTGAAGAGATGGCTTGCAGTAACTGCCCGTCGATCCCATATGTTTCCAGCCACTTCCATGGGTTGCTGCACGGGAAACAGCGAGAAGCTTTCTCCAGGTCGATACCTGCAGGTGTCGGCAAAGCGGATGAGCGAATTACCAAGATTTCTCAGGAATCTAGCTTAAGGGTAAGGTCTGATGAAAGGTGCTGCAGCCACAGCACTCTTTCTAAACTTTGGAATAAATCATTCCGAAGCTCCCTTCTTTTAACACCTTTGCATAGACTTTTCCCCTGTGGCTGAGTATAGCAACGCCCAGATAATTCGAGTATTCCGTATGGACTCCCTTCTTGAACAACGGTTTGTAACAACCCCCTTTTTCCAGTGTCGTCTTCTCAGCGGTCACAGTTTGGCAAAGACATGTTAGCTTTAACGTGCGTTCTTTGCATAAAGTTTGAGTGTGTCAGGACGAGTTTTATCGATTCCGGCAGCCTTGCTACCTTCCAAGAATTTGCAGCCTGCTGCTGGCAGACTAATATCTACTGCCTATTGCTCTTCAGCAGCCTCTTACTGTGGATGCTCAGGATTAAACAGTTCCTCATCGTACCCTTGCAATCGTCGAAGTTTGTCTTCTTCATTAGTAAATAAGAGTCCAGCACTGGGACTGCCTTTATTTTAATTTCAGAGGCTGCGAATGCTCTGTAAGAATACCTTATTTGTGGTCTGCCAATTTGATGCAACCCTCTTCGGAACTTTTCTGAAGAATAAGCATTCGCTCTGGCCACTGCTTTCACTGTTGCCTTGCGTACCTCTTATCGCATTCGAGTTGGAGTCCCTGCCTTCCAGCCATCTTTTAATGCAGTCTTCTCAATGACAGCCTGTTGAACCTCTCCCTCCCATGTGCTAAGTTCTTTTATGACTTCCAGCTGGCTTTCCAACCCATTTTAAACTACAGCATTCAGCGACAGCTCTGAGTGAGGTGCTCCATAATAACATCCACCGGATCTGTTCAAATTGTCGCGCGAAGATGCTCATACGATCTATCCTCTTACGCGCAGAAGACTACGCGTGACTCTCTGGCTTCATGCTCCACCAGGTCTTCGCATAGTACTCAGCCGTTTAAGAGAAGAGTGACAAAAATGAAGTGAGGACCCGTTGATATGCCTGCACTTATGCTGACGACAACATCCATTATCGATCCTCTGCTTCTCTGCATAAGCTTGCCCATACGACGTGTCTTGATGCATGTTTCAGCACACTAACAAGGCAGTCATAACAGACAGATCGTTATATACACAAAACCGCAACAACCAAATGCCGTTATTGTTGAGGCCGCTAAGACGGTGCTTGTCCATCAGGTCTTTCCAGTGTGTTCAGAGTCTGTTCTAGCAAGCACATTAAAACCTACCTTTAGAGTATTGGATTCCATAGCTGGGATTTCGACAAAGCGCCTTTTACTTCCTCGAGGAGGAACTCATTCTCTACCTCAGAATTTTGGCACATAGACATGCAACACGGTGAAGGCTTTAACTGGTTTGACCGTAACATCAGTCTGTTGCTGCCATTCTTCCTCTGTAAATTTTCCATTCAATGATTCTTTCAGTCAGATTGGGTTCCGCCAGAATATCAGCACCGCCGGTCTTGGCGAGTGCCATAAAGCACTGATTGGTTGGCATCTGATTAGAACAGTTTCCATCCGCAGAGGTTCATAATTCCACAGTCGTGGCTTTTCGTTGACGAGAGTTCATTTATTTCCGGTGCGAATGGTACCATGCGTCCTCTTAAGTAGTTTGTGTTGTTTCTTTGAGTGAGGAGATGTCTGCCTCCACCGATCAGAACGTCTCCGATGCTGATTGGTTCCTTGATCTTCAGCCACCGTCACCTGGTAGGAGAAGGAGTGAAGTAAGTTCTGACCATCGACTGTTTGCAGTCTGCTCAGTTCCTCAACAGCTAGGGTAACCCGTGCGACGACCGAGGGGGTACAATGTTCGCTAACGCTAATACCGTGAGGGTTAGGTGGCTAAGTTTGACGGTTTAATATTATGTTTCTCAAGCAGAAGCGTGCAACGCCTCTGGAATGGTGATTTGAAGCGGATCGCTTTGCTGGCAGTCGAAAGGTCGCTGATAGGTTTAGGGTCAAATTGATGACAGTGGTTAATTCAGCTTCACGGTGTTAATGTCGGTGCATCAAAGGCATACGGTGGGAATTTGGAAACACACGTGCCTCACCCCTGTCCCTCGCGTCCGAGTAGATGCCTCAACGAGAATATTGGTAAGACAATCGGTCGGACTTGTTTCGAAATGAGTCCCTGAGTCCCAGCACGCGCTGCTGTGGAGGACAACCGCAATGGGAGCTGAACGTCATTCGAGCTCTGTTCTTCGCTTTCAACGGCTGTACGGCTTGGTGTAGGTATAGTCCACAGTCGATACTGACTTGACCTCGTTCCGGCGCGTCAATAACCAGTTTGGGAACAGAAATGGGGACGGAAGCCCATCCATATTCGGCATCGCGCGTTATTATTCGAATATGTACCGGAAACGATCGTTAATAAAAGGTCTCGGCTGTTCGATGTCAATCGACAGCATTAGCATCAGCTTCCGGTTTTCTAAACACTTCCATAAAGGATTAAAATGAATCATCACTATTGATGGTGGGTCGAAAACAAGTGGTCAGGTGACAGAATCCAAAGGCCGCGTCGTGACCTGCGACGTACACAGGGAAGCTTCTGCTGACTTGAGTCCAGCATTCGCATGAATGGCGAGTTCTTTGCCGAGGATGCGATGGACTGCACGCATGGCGTTGTATCACAGACCTAACCCTGATTCGAACCAAAGTACTGCAGTTACATGCGACGCAACGTTCGATCGCAAGAGGGAGGTAGGCGAGTGGCAGTCGTCGGCTGCCATATAATTCTGGCTGTGGAAATGCATTCCGTCACTTGTCACGTTGTTGAGTTAGTTGATGAATATCATGCAGGAGAGGCAACCAAAAAACGGCCTCCTCATTGTGAATGTCCCATAAAATTCATCGTCCATTCGACGCTCTGATCTAGCGCATTACGTTGTGATTTGTCGACGCTGTTTTTGCGACTTTGCTTTTCGGCCACAGCGGCTCACACTCGCCACACCC